AAAAGGTGATCGTCCTCAAGAGATTTGTTAAGGCATTGGAAAAGGTGAGGAACTTCAATCCACGCAAGCCTCATTATCTGCCAATGCAGTCTGATCCAGAAGTAGAAAAGGTTCATCTAAGGCACCCAACAGTCGAAGAGAGAAAAAATGCTGATGAAATGATGCTAGATTATGCACTTCGACAAGTTATTTCATCACTAGCTCCATCTCAGAAAAGAAAAGTAGCTCTATTGGTACAAGCATTTGAAACAGTCATCCCATTACCAGAAACTGGAAATGGTTTGAGATACAGTGCAGCAGCTTTTTCTCAAACAACTACTTTTCAAGCCTGTTGTGAATCTTCAATTCCAAATGGGGACAGCATACAAAACCAAATTGATTCTGAAATCTTGCTAGGAAAAACAGCAGTTTCAGAAATGAACTTCACGGATGATTCAGACCAAGCCAGTGACTTATCTACAGCAGAACATCATATCCTCCCATCAAAATCTCCTGAGCTCAAAGAACCAGGTCTGAGTTGTGGTTGCACGGAGCACTTAAGGTGTATATCAACCTCTAAAATCACTCATGCAGACGTGAATAAAGAAGATAAAGGCACATTCAATGCTGATAGTGGGAATAATAATTTGACTCCCACACATTATCAGCCTGCCCAACTTGAATTTGATTTGCTAGAGCCCAGTCCATGTGAAAATTATAACTTAAAGGCAGAGGATACTTTACACATTGCAAATGAGAAATTTCTAGCAAATGAAGTTCTTCAAGCAATTCCAAAGAAAAGAAGTTGGACTTTTGGTTCAGAAGTTCAAAATGGTAACACAGAATGCAATATCAAGAAGATGGAGTGCAGTGACTCAATCAATGCTGCTGATGAATACCCAGGCAAAGCCCAATGTCTAACAGAAGTCGATCAAGGAGAAGAGAAATCTGAGTATAGATTTATCCAAAGATCAGCTCCACTTGATGAATCTGATTGCAATTGCACTGCTGATGTAGCGCATCAAACCAAGTCTGAGAAACAAAAGCACATGAGGCTCTGGTACTTAATCTATAAGCACATGGTATCAGGCACTGCCACAGAAGATGGATTCCAGCCACTTGATGAGGGACAAGAGAGTGGAGGACAGGATGATGATCCCAGTACATTGCATGGAGTCAGTAAGAATGATTTCCAAGGCTTTTCTGTAACAAGTCGTAATATAATGTTGAAGAATTACAGTGCAGAGAGTGAACTTATTGAAGAACAGCAAATAGAGGTCATGAAGCTGGTAGAAGAAGCAATTGATGAAATCCCTCTTCCAGAAAATCAAGATGACTCATCTGATGATAAATTGATTGCTAGTGACACAATTTCAATTCAAGAGATCCAAGAAATGAGATCAGGAGGAGGAGAGGATCCAGTTATCCCAGCTTCCACTGATTCTGCTAAAGACTGTCCTGTAGAATCTAACAACAGAGGAGTAAAGATCAGCACAACAAAAGATTCCAAAGAAGAAAGAATGCTGAATTCTGAAAATTTCAGCACTCAGAAAGGAGCAAAAGTAATGTTGAAGGTGGGTAATAATGTGAAGCCTCGGGTGCAAAAAAATTGGAGCAATCTGAAAAAATTGATCCTCCTTAGAAGATTTGTCAAGGCATTGGAGAAGGTGAAAGAATTTAATCCTCAGGAGCCACAATTCCTTCCATTGAATCCGGCCCCAGAATCAGAAAAAGTTAACCTAAGGCATCAAGATATGG